GATAATCTTCTCTGGCCTGCTGTTGAAGCCCCAGACTGATCGGGGGAAAAATTACAAAGTCCGAAGCTTTGGGGCTAGTTGTAGTGCTCTTTTCCAACGTCTCCCAGTATAACGTCGAAGACGTTGGTGTCTAAAGCACCTTTTTTATTTGCAGATTCAGTTGTTTTGGTGATCCTAGACGAGGAGATTGGTTAGTGATACTTGTTCAGTGGAGGCTATTCCGTTGGCTCAAGTTTTTTTTCCTTCATAGCTGTTATAGGTTTGCCCAGCGCAGATCTTGGAGAGAATCAGTGATTCCTGGTTGAATGCTTAGAGTCGAGAGGGAAATACATATAGGGTCGTCGGTCATCGGGTTTTTCAGACTTGCGAAGAACAACTTCGCAGGTGACGTCTGACAGTGAATGGCTGACTTGGTTTAATACTGCACGTTTTTAGTTAATATAGTCTTTTAGTCGACGAATCGCTTCCGGAAATGATAGTTAAAATGTATTTGTTGGCAAGGTAGTTTACACTTAGGTGGCCCCTAAAAAGAACCAATGAGATTGATGGTTAAGTAGGGAACGTAAATACTTATAATGGCCCTAAAAAGCGCTAGTGGTGAAACCTCCAGCTATTCGTTATTCCTGATGATGAAGAGCTGGCTACGGGTATCTTGATTCTTACCCTGGGAGTCTCTATCTACGGAGACTGTGATGAAGGGAGGTACGCCACTGACCAAAGAATATCTCGTCTTTGGGTCATTCCCTGGATAACCAACCGCTCAGCGTTAGAGGGGAACATGTGGGTAAGCGCGTTGGGGACGCGACGACTAAGAAGGAAGCCATTGTGGCTGCCCGGGCCCCTCAGAGCTATTTTTCCTGGCTTATATTTGTAGCCAAAAATCCTCTGACTGCACCAGGCAGGATGGTGGGGCTGCCACACAACTCTGAAGAGTTGGAACAGATTGGGCTCTGGCTAGATATGTCACCTGGTATTATGCCAGAAGCGTCATCGGTTAGAATGACTTTTTTTTTGATCGCACTCGTCAAGATTTAGGGTGATTGGAGACCTAGGTCCCTTTCTCCTTAGAGAAGAGTGTTGTCCGTAACTGGAATATCCAGCTGCAAGACCATCATCTGCATTCTCTATATAGCTCGTTGAACTGTCGAACTACGACTGCATCGGATATCTAGACGCTACGGCGTTTTATAGCGTCTGTTGATATCTACCACGACCATTCTGAGCTCTGCTATGGCCTGCTGTTATTGTTATGAAAGTTTTGTTGTTGTTCATTGCAGAACTGACCTTGTTGACCTCCTTGCTGTTGAATACTTCTTCTTATGTTAACATTTTAAATGCTAGTGCATGATCCTTTTTACGTATTTTATCGTTGATTATAATTTTTACTATAACAGTGCCTTTAAAAACGTCCTGGTTTACCACACTTGTAACAGTTTCATTCCTTTTTTTCTTCACTTTAATAAGACTTGAACTTTCACAATTATATTTATTTTTGTATACTTGATATCTTAATTCCAACATTCTAATTTTTTTTTTTAACATCTTAAACTATTTGATCCTTTATTTTTTAAACATCTATTTAGTCACTAAGATGTATCAATGAATGAGGTAATGTTCTCAGTAAATAAATAACCGTTTTCTCTTTATTTACTGTTGCTCCAGTACTTCTTAGTTTAATAATTATCTTTTCGAATTTGCTAAAAAAATTACTTGATTTTTTTTTAGTCACTCAATTTTATTTAAACTAATTTATTTCTCACACATATTTGCAAGGCTGTTGATTCTATGACTTATTACGTATTACAGTATTACACTGTTAATCTCTTGTAAAATTTTGTTGTTGTCAATCTATTCAGTTCCTTCTTTCTCTTGTCTATTTTTTATTTACCTATACTTATTCATCGTCTTTTCACTTCTTTCTTTTAGATATGTACCAAACTTTCTTTGTTTTAAAGCTGTATAATTACTTTGCATCTCAATAAATTTTGCACTAAAACACATGCGTTACATATCAGTCCCCAAGTTTTATACTAATCTTTTTATTAATCAACATATTTCTTGTATCCATTTTTAATTTGACAGTCTCTTTTACAAGTTATTGTAATGTGCCCCTGAAGAGACACGTGAAACAAAAAAAAAAAAAAAAAAATTAGACCGAAACTGAAAACTCAAATTACGAACTTCCACCATGTTGAATATAAATGAGCCTGAGATAATACATAGTTATAGGTGCATCTTCTACGACATACTTGAATTTACTATTAATGATATTCCATATCAAACATTATGCACCTTACCTCAACAATGTTTACGTCTTTACTAAATTCATGTATCCTCATCAAACATGTATTCATCACGTGACTCGAGAGCTCCTACGCATGCTCATGGCTTAGCGTCCCAGCGCGGTGCACGTTTTTTTTAATTAACCTACTTTCTAACATTAGTCTAAGTATTTATTCCTTGCTTACCTTTTCTTACTCATTTTTTAGCTTTTCTAACAAATTACGAATAGCACCATAGAATCTCAATATGGAGATGAAAGAGAGAGAGAAGATAAAAATCTCGTGCTTCCTCGTAGGACAAAAAGTTGAGCAGCATACTTGTCTTCCTTAGTTGAGATACTTATACCTCGCTTTGCATAGTGTGAGAAAAACGTTAAGTCTTGCTAGTAAACAGACGGCAACTGCTAACACTCAGACCTCTTCTCTCTCGCCATACCATCAGAGTTATCTGCAGTCATAGCAACTTCTATTTTACACCTCTTTTCCTCTTACCAAACTCGTTTTTTAACAAACAGTGTTACAACTTTTTTAACTTAGTTGAGTTTAAGAAGCATGTATCATTGTAGCAATATAATTGAGGTGAATGTCTCAATTTTTACTTGTGACTCAATCATCGATCATTTTTTTTTCTATCTTAATATAAACATTCTTAGACATAAATAAATAGTTGTTGGGGCACAAAAAAAAATTTTTTTTATACAAATATTTCTTATTGTTCAATAAAAGTACATCTAAGACTTGTAAAAATAAAAATAGAGTGACCAATAGTTATGACATTTCGTCTCCTTCAGTAAACTAAAATTGGGACATTTACTTTACTTGTAGTAAACATTTAGATCTTCAAATTTGAAAATACTTATTTTGAGGTGTCGATAACGTTCCTGCTAACTGAAGGATAACATCCTATTTTGAAAACTTAAGAGAAGCCTTAGTTGTATTGTCTACTGTCAACATATTACATTTGATTAGTTATTGCCTCAAAATAATCCTCATTTTAAATCTATTTGTCCATTTTTAATTTTGTGATGTTATTGGATGAAAAAAACCATGTCGTTTCCAAAGTGGCAAAATTGAAAAATTTAATCATAAGATTATAAAACTAAAAAAAAAAAATTAGTAGGTTATGTACTTTCATTATAATAAAAAATTTTCAAATAATTGTTTTCTAATGCAAATTTTCGAGAAGTCATAAAAAATATTAAGATTCAGTGGAATTTCTGGAGTCAGCTCATATAGCTGGTATGGGGCAGAGCACCCTAGTTTCACAAAATGTGTAAGCGCACTCAACTGTCAGAGGTTCTTTTAAGGGTATCGTGTGATTCATACGCAGCTACGTAACATACATATGTATGTGAAGATATTTGACGTGTAAAGACTTAAATAAGATCAGTTAGCTGAAACATATTTTAGGATGAGGTAAAATTTTACTATTATCAGGCAAAGTAATGTATTTTTTGATACATTTTAAGCTTTATGTCATGTGTAAAGCTGTACATGCTCCGTTAGCTAAATTGAATTTTAAAATAAGTCAACACTTTATGAGTACTAGTAAGTGACATAAATTAAATTGGTCAACTATAAGAAAATAAAGCAATGAGTTGCTCATTACTTTATTTCAGAGTTAGATAAACTATTAATGTCTGATCTAGATATTATTAGTTTTAAACAGAGCGAGAGTTTTTTCTACTATTTTAAGCCATAGAGTGGTTGTTATTAGAGCTGATTTGTTACAAGACGTTTTTTATTCTTACTCTTAGACTTATGCAAATATCTAATTACAACCAAATATGACAGGAATAAGTTTATTAGTGCCTTGGCTAGACTCCATAAAAATAAGTTTATTTATCTTAAAAAAAGTCTCTTTTGTCATACCCCCACCGAAAGTACGACTTTGTTTCCTGTTTTTAGGTAGCGGAGTGCAACATTTCTCCCAAGTGAAAAATCAAATGTACTGCTCGTAGGAAACGTATTTTAATATCTTTTGCAGGGTTGCCTCCCTCGCCTTAAGCTCGGGAGGCAGTTTTCTTGTAGAGGATGCCAAAATACTTTTCCTAATTAGTAGTTAATGTGATTTTTACCTGAAAGGTTATGTTGCATTTTCTCCCTGAAACTATGAAAAAACATCGTGTTTTTAGCAAAGGAACAGAAAAAATCGTTTATGGGCCTCGGGAAGAAAGTGTGGCATCATCTTCTAGGTATTTGCCAACTTTGTCTCTGGCTCGGGTGGCAACATTCACTCAGAAAAGAGTGCCGTACTTTTTTTTTTTGATGCGTAATATACTATGATATAAAACTTTATTTTTGAGAACGTAACACAGTTTTTTTAAGCAGGCTTACTTATACATATACGCTTATGTGTTGAGGCCAATACTAAGCTAAAGGGCCACTTTAATGATGAATAAATATAGATCAATTTGAAGTACTGGCATTTTAAGTATCAAAGATTCTCTACATAAGAAAATCGTCAGAAACGAGATAATACTAGATGGCTGTATCCCAAACAATCAATTAGGCTTTAGAAGATACATAAACATTGAGCTGACTTTCTTAATAAAACGTTTTGATAAGATAGGCAAATATAAGTTTGAATTCTATTTGTAGTTTAATTTAAGATTAAGCATTGTTAAAAAATCTCTACTCCATAAATATTTTAGCTTATAGTAAATGTTGTTATCCAATAAAGTCAATAACGTTATTAAAAAATCACAAGTTTTTTTATGTAAAAAGTATTTATTAACGACATTTAGAACATAGACATAGGAAAAGAAAGGTGACTAAACGATTTACTTTAACAGTTAACTCTTATTTCCTGAATTTGTAAGCGTTTGATAAACATAGATGAGATGCAGCTTTTATCTTCATACAAAGCAAGAAATAGCAAGTTGATAAATTCGTACAATGCATTAAGAAAGTAGGTGGTTCAGCTTCAAGATATGAAAATACTTCTTCTCATTCTGTCGCCGCTCTTTCACACAAACGTTTCAAAAATGCTGAAAAAAATTAGAAATGTCACTGCTTTTTGCTTAGTTTGTAATATTTTTTTAGGGATAATTGTACTTAAAGCTATTAAAGAAATTTGAGTATCTTAATATAAAAATTTCTTCAACTAAACAAATAAGCAGCATTCAAATTCATCTGCTTTTTATTAACCTGTAAGCAATTATGCGACATACCCAAAACTATTCTTGGATACTTTGAGCCAGTCGTGAGAGTGAGAAAGAGAGAGAGATAGAGAGCATAAGAGGCCAAATTCCTTATATCTATCCTCTTGCTTAAGCCTGACCTACTTCAAAATTAGTTCCTTGTTAATAAGTATTATATATTAGGATTGTATTTCCTAATATCATTTTAATAATAGTCACTATTGTCTCAGGCAGCAGTGCAAATTTTTTTATTGATTTTCTTATTCTGCTGTGAGAAAGTGACACTTAATTTTGGTAACGTAGTCCTACACTTAAACTCAAAATATAATGTTTAGTAATATGGCCAGTAATATTTGAGAATATTCTTACTGTTTTAAAGAAAAACAAATGAAATTAAAGTCTTACGTGTACTTAGAAAGTTGTAGCCTTTGTTATAATCATTGTTTAATATTAGATATTGCAGACTGTATTATTTTTAATCACCTGGACTTAAAGGAGGAAAGAAAACTACGACGTTGGACGACTGACGCCTAAATAAGGTAATTAATTTCTCATACAATACTTTTACTAACTAACAAATTTTTTATTTGTGATACAAAAAAAGTTGAAACATATTAACTTTTAGTTTAACACATTAATTAATAACCATAAATATAAATGGGTGTGTATGAAACGTATAACTTATTAGATTAAAGCTATATAATGGCTGATGCATGGTAAAGTAATTGATAGGTAGTTATTAATCTTATTTGTGGTAACAGATATAAGAGATGGACTTCGAAGCCATCTTAATAGCAAATAACTCGTACAGAACGAAAAATATATGAAACTGAATGATTGTTACGCTGGCAATGCGTGTGAGCCCTTGTTATAGGTTAAGTCACTTGTCTTCTATCAATCATGTACAAAGCCAGAAAAAGTAGTACAAGCAGCAAACATGTAACTAAAAAATAAGTATGTAGTTTTTAAAAATAACGATTCTTTTAACAACTATATCTTTTGACACTAAAGAAATACATGAAAAAATTTATTTTGAAAGAGTCATAATGCGGATATCTGCAATCATTCTTTTATTTTTTATTGTAGGCCATTTTAAATAACAATTTTTCTCAAAATTAGTAGTATAGGAGAACTAGAGTGTATGGAAGCACAAATAAAGGACAATTAAAAGAGACCTGATAAGTAATAGAATAGTTTTATTGAACCTTAAGATGTATATACATTCTAACACTGCAATACGTACTGTACAGTTCTCATGGCAAGGCACTGCAGTCACAATGGCAGTATTAGTGTGCAGAGCTCTGCTTTTACTTTGCGTGAGACAAAAATAAGTCACGAAAAAAATACCATGCTACTAGCTTTTATTGTCGATTTTGTTTAACGCCTCTGAACTTATTCACACATATTTAAAAAAAAAAATATTAGTCTAGATTGGGTTTACATAAGAATCAAGCAATGAAGTCTCGGTTCGTACTGTGCAAATCCGTGTAGGTAGGGATATTTTCTTGCATGTTAAACTCTTGTGGATACTGTTGTGACTATAGTTGAGTTTTCACATAATGGCTATAATAGCTGTCAATCGTGCCACCATTTCCACGTGCCATTACCAGTAATCAGTAGCTGTTACGCCCATATTTTGGCCATGGTTTAGCTCCAGTAATCTTTAGGCGTCTGTCAACATCATGTCGTGATCTAAGAGTACTACAACATGCTGTTTTATGAATGCTCTTATGCGCAAACGTCTGCCATAGTCATCATGATACTATTTCCAACAGTTCAGCTGCTGTTTTAATCTTTAGACACATAAGCAATTTATGTCTTGATTTGTCATAATTCTTGCACTTTCCTTGTTATCTATCAACGCAAAGCATAACAAGACAGTAAGGCTAATAAAGGGTCTTGGTGCTCAAATAACCTTCGGCTTTTTTTATCTTTCCTTTACCTTTTTTCTGCTCCCCAACTAATCTACATCACCTACAAAGCACGTAATGAGAACACTGAGATTTTACTGTTTCTAGTGCACATAGATTTGCATTAGTTTTAAGTGTAAAACTCATGAATTGACAATATGAAGACAACCAAGACTACAGATAATATACGTCACACACAGGACGCTATTGCTAGAATCCTGGAACACCATGTAAGCGATAGAGCCAGAACAGTAAGCTCATGGGCTTAATGACTTTCAACTTGATCTACTCTGCGGTTGTTGGCGTAACTTTACCAACAACCACCAACATCTTTTAAAGACAGTCTTACAGAAGGACTTGCTTAGCTTCCACGTGCTACATATAACAGCAAAAACAAGCTGCATTCTGACTTATGATGCTCAAAAAACCACACTTCACCAAATCGTTTGAACCAGGACGATTAAATAGCGCTAGAGGCGTGCTTCTAGCATCAATGCTTACTGTCCATAACCATATCACAATCCAGTATAACATCAAGCCACTATGAGAAAATATTTTAAAAGGATTGCAGCATTCTTAAGACATACCAGAAGATGGTCTAAGGTCACTCCAAATCTTAAAACGTTCACAAATAAGGACACATATTCAGCTCGGTTAAAGCATCATGGTTGACTGGTCAGCCCACCAAGCCCAATTAGAGGATGCACCTATCAACATAAGCTGAACGTACTTATTACCTGTACCTTACCAGCAAACACTTTTTTCTTTTTCTTAACCAGCCACGATTGTTATTTTCTATGGCATTGTTGTTGTAAGTTTACTAATAAATATTACACAACTACCTTATAATCAAATTCTTTAGTTTATGATTGGACAATTATGATATGATTCAGTACATGGTTGACTCTGACTCGCTGTATAGCGTGCTGTCTGCTCACTTGCAGACTGATCTATGAACACGTTTTGTTTGTATTACTGTATCGTGAGCCTTGATTAACAATAACGTAATTGGCCTAGTTAATAACTTATACTCAGTATAACGAGATCTTTCTCTTTCTAAATTCTAGTTTAATATCTCATAAAAGAATAACTATAATCTGTAAAGTGACTGGATTTACTATTAAGACTGCCACTTTGGGTTTTCAGAGGTAATCTTTGAACTAAGCTACAAGGTTCTGGTTGTGTTTTACCAGTGCCAATATTATTATTAACAAGGTCTCGAATAAAACTATTGGGTTGACTTACAGATTTAGCGTTAGAAAGATTTTTTTTGAAGCTCAATAATCTCAACTTTAACTTCTCTACAATTAACTTTTTTTATAAAGAAAATTTTAACTTATCATGTACCTGTTTCTGTCTTAACTTTATAAGTTCTAAGGATATAATGAATTTTTACGACATCAGCTCAAAATTAAACATTTTTGTTTTAATTACTAACTTTAACAGTATCAACAAATTTAGTATTTTTTAATAGTCTTGAATTATTATCGTAACTCCTCTTTTGCTGCATCATTTCTTTTTACAATTTTTTTAACGAAGCAATTTTTACATTGCTTTTAGAGTAGCATTGTAAGGCTTGTCTAACATTCCTTTAACCCATTACCGCTAATACCGCTAATATACTGCTTTGGCTGATAACCATATTTCGAAACTGTAATAAAACCGTTTCCTAATTATTTTCTTCTTGAACTCCTTTCTTTAAAACTCTTTTAACCACTTATATTCGTCACTTGGCTTGCCTACTAGAGTGGTAATGTTTAGGCTTGGTTACTCTATGTCCAAATCTCTATTTATTTTTTAATATAATAAATTTGTTGTTTATAAACTGTCAGTCTAAGCCTGAATATAAAGTTTTTGGTAAAACAAGCCTAAAAAAATTCTCTTGAATGATACTACTATGTTGTCAGTTGATAACTAGTAACTTTTTCTATATTGAAAAATTAACTAGAGGTTGCTTCTACAAGTATCTTAGACTTTTCAGACAATTGAAACGTATCAGCAGCCAAAATCTCTTTAGTTTTATTAGAAGTTTTTTTAAGAATAGCTTTTTTTTAACATAGCTCTTACATATATCACACCTTTCACTCAGTAAATCAATTTGTTTTGACATTCAAGGGTAGTACATACTTTTTCATCACATTACTTCACTCGTATTTTGTCAAAAATGAGCATAACGTTCTTAACTTAGCACGGATTCTGTAATAATTTTGAAATGACAATGCAGTTTTCTGTCAAAATCAAACGATTTATCTCACTCGTCTCTTAGTTAAATGTTAAGTTAGGCCTTACAGTGCCAGTTACATCTTGCAATTTTCTTATTAAGCCATTTTTAATAAATTTTAAGAGTTCGTGTAACTTGCTATCTTTTTCTGTGTTTATTTTTGTTTCTTTTATGTTAACATTTATGATGTTATGAGATTTCACTTAAGCTTATACGTAAGCTCCTACTTTTTTATTTTGTGTACTCACATTTAAAAAAAATAATTTCTACTGAAACAATGCGTTATGGCCAAGATTTTCTTTGGTACAGAAATAAATTGGAATTCATAGCAGTTAGTTATAAATAAGATAGAAAGTAACTACTTTCATTATTCTAGTAACTACTCTTCATTCGTTGTAAGGTCATTTTTTAGAGATTTTTTTCTTATGGATACCAGTGGCTTATGATCTATTTTAAAAATTAAAGTTTTCCTAATCATGTAAGATTGCTAACCATTTTCTTACTATTTGACAATATAACTTGTCAGTCATTCTTAGCGATCTTCAACCATAAGCTATTGGTCTCCCATATTGTTTAAGCTACTTGTGATTTGCAAGAAACTGAGAATTAATATTGATAAATAATAAAACAATCCTTTTTTATTTTCTGGTTGTTTCATTGATTTGACTACTTTAACTTTAGATTTAATAACTCTTACACCTTTTATAGACATCATC